TCGGCTCCCCAGGCCCCCCCCCCCCCGCTCTACCCCACCAGACCCACTCGCCTCCCAGAGCCGGGGGAGAACCCAGGCATCCGGGCTCCCCGCTGCGTGCCGTGACCACACCCCGTGTCTCCGAAGGCGCCGGCTGTCGGGGAGATCCGGTGGGAGGACACTGGCTGAGCTCACCAGGACCCTGGAGGACGCCAAGGCGGCGCTGGAGCGACTGAGCACAGAGGTGGGCTCGTGGGGGGGCCGTACCTCCGGGAACAGAGTGAGATCCCTGTGCACTCTGGGTAGGGACTCAGAACCAGGATGCCTGGGTTCTCTCCCAGCTCTGGGAGGAGAGGGCAGCTGGTGGGTTGGAGTTTGGGGCTGGTGGGTTGGAGCGGGGGGGGGCTGGGAGCCAGGACTCCTGCGTTCACTCCCCGGCTCTGGGAGGGGAGGGGGTCTGGTGGATTGGTGGCTGGCTAAGAGTCACGTCTGACTGCGGAGTTGGGGTGCGTGCAGGACCCTCTGGCTTCCCCAGGACCCCGCCTGGGCGGACTCGCTGTGGGAAGCGCACGGAGGGGCATATGCTGAATGCTCCCAGGAGAGACCCAGGAGGTGAAGCCGTGTGAGCTTCTTGCCCTGTAGATGGTCTGCTCCAAGGGAGAGGAGGCTCCCCAAAGTCCTGACTGGCTTTGTGGGGAGCAGTTCCAGAGCATCGCCCGGGAATGCTGTGACACAAGGCCCTGCACCCCCGGTTTCCTGCGATTCACCATGACTCTCAGCCAGCCAGTAAAACAGGAGGTTTATTTAGACGACAGGAACACAGTCCAAGACAGGTCTTGCAGGTAAAGACAACAGGACCCCCTCAGTTAGGTCCGTCTTGGGGTCCCAGGGACACCACAGCCCCATTGGGGGGTCAGAGCCCTGTCTGGACTCCCTCCATTACACCAGCTAGCCCCTGAACCTCTAACTCTCTCCAGCGTCTCTCACCCAGCCTCTCTCCGGCTCCTCCTCCAGCCTTTGTCCAGTTTCCCAGGCAGAGAGGTTACCTAGCCTCCAACCCCCTTCCCGGGCTCTCACGTTACATGCTCAGGTGTCTTCCCTCAAGGCCAGTCTCCCATCCCCCAATGCAGACCGTCCCAGCCAAACCCCCCACTCAGCATTCAAAGACCACATTAAGAACAGTCCCAGTTCGTCACATCACACAGACCCAATAAACCCCGTCCCAGACACCTATACACTCATCCCCCACCTACCCCCACAGACCCAGTAACCCCCCCCAGACACCTGTACACACCAATCCCCCACAGACCCAGTAACCCCTGACAGCTGTACATACTGTGACGAAGTGAGGATTTCCCCTTATGTTGTTTGTGAGTCTTACTGTTTTGCATGAATGCTGTGTGCCTCAGTTTCTCTGTGTATTGCACCAAAGTCTGGGTGGTGGGAATAAGCGTGTGAGACTTTTGTGGGGGTTGCTCCAGCTCCCTGCAGGGATGCTGTGGCCGCCCCCTCGTAACCTGAGACCCAGGAGGGGGATGTGACCAGGTGACTCTTGGCCTGGGAAGCGAGACAAAGGCCGGAGAAGGAGCAACGTGCAGGGCAGGGGCCAGGCAGCTGGAAGTGAGTCAGTCTCGGCTAGCTTGGGGCACAGCGGGAGGCAGAGCCCTGGCTCTGGGCTCCCCTCCCCCCCAAGATGGACTTGGCTGAAAGTCACTGATTTCTGTGGTGACAAGTTCTGCCCTATGCCATGTTCCTGTCGACTAATAAACCTTCTCTATTCCTGGCTGGCTGAGAGTCACGTCTGACTGCAAAGGGGGGGGTGCGTGCAGGACCCTTCCCCAGGACCCTGCCTGGGCAGACTCGCTGTGGGAAGCGCACGGAGGGGCATATGCTGAATTCTCCAAGGTCAGAGCCAGGAGGTGAAGCCATGTGAGCAGGTCTTGCAGGCACAGACAACAGGATCCCCCTCAGTTAGATCCATCTTGGGGTCCCAGGGCATCAGAGCCCCGTCTGCCTCCCAGCCATATCACCAGCCAGCTCCTCAAACTCTCCCTTCAGCGACCCCTCCCACAGCCTTTGTTCAGTTTCCCGGGCAAAGGTGTCACCTGGCCTCTAACCCCTTCCTGGGTTCTCATGTTACATGCTCAGGTATTCTCTGTAGGTCAGTCTCCCATCCCCCAATGCAGACCATCCTAGCCACACTCCCCTGTCAGCATTCACAGACCACAGTAAGAACAGTCCCAGTTCGTCACACTCACACCGGTTCCTGACCCAGCTGGAGCCATGAGAGGGGCTGAGAGCAGCCGGGTGTGCCAGGGACCCGTGTCCCCAACCAGCCCATCAGTGGATCTGAGACGGATGGAATTGGAGCGGAGATCGAAGGAGTCGGAGGCCCATGAGAGCCAGAGGCGGCACGAAGCAGAACAGCAGGAGAGACAGAGGCAGCATGAACTGGCGATGGCTGAGCTGAGAGGCAGAGGAACCCGCCCAGGGGTGAGTGGGGATGGACCGGACCCGGGGTGCCAATTCCGCCAGGAACCTCGACACTAAATTGCTGCCCCAGGTTCAGGAGGGGGAGATACAGATGCCTGTCGCGGCCTTTGGGAAGGCTGGCAATTGGAACCACGCTTGCCCTGGGGAAAGGCTCCGGTGTCTAGCTCCCTTGCTGGGTCCCAAGGCCATAGATGCTGTCAGCCAGATGGGCGGGGAGACAGACTGGCTCTCACTCCTGGCCCCCGCCTATATGTCTGCGTGGAGTCTCCTGGGCTCAGGCCCCTCAGACCCCCCGTGGGAGCGGAAGGTGGTGGTCAATGGGGAAACCTGCTTGGGATGGCGAGACCCTGGGACAAAGAGAACTGTTGTCAGGCCCCGGGTGGTGCAGCCGCAGATGCTGAGGGGCTGTGGGACCTGGGTGAAGGTCCCTGGGACGAAGCCCCTCGCCCTGCCTATGGCCCGGATCCCTGTGCAGACCCAGGAGGGGTCGGGCTGGCGGGTCGTTGGGGTTCTCCAGGATATCGGCTGTGGGGGGTGACGGTGTCTCTTTGGGACAGGATCCAGGCCCCGCTCCTGTAACGGCCGAGGATTTGAATTTGAATCCAGGGAACCAAATTGGCTGAGATTGAAGGGGTCAGTGAAAATGCAAATGACCTGGCTGGCCGGCTCCCTCCTGCCCTCACTGGGACAGCAGGGGCAGAGCTGAGCCTGGGGGGATCAGAGACCCCAGCTGAGTGCGGGGAACCACAGCCAGGGGGGACAGCTGCCAACCAGGGCTGCCTTGTCCAGAGGTGCAAATGGCCTGGGACAAGGGTAGAGCAGCCTTGGGACACCTGCCTGTCATGGAGGAGCCTTTTCAGAAGGTGGCCCTGGGCTTGGTGAGGGCCGGATGGGCGGGGAAGGCCTCCCCTGATGGAGAATCAGTGGTGGAGTATGTACTGACCTTCCGGGAATAGCTCGCTGAGCTCATGGGTCCGGCCTGGGAGAACCTAGCCAGGGCCCAAGGGAGGCGGAAAGTCTGGTACGACCGCTCAGCCTATGGCACCGGGTGAGGGGTCTCGTCCCGGTGAGGATGAGTAAGCTGCAAGCTGCCTGGGACGGGCCCTTCAAGGTCATCCAGCAGCTGAGTGAGAACAATGTGGTGGAACTGCCCAGCCGGGCTCACAGCCACCGAGGGAACCGGGTCAACATGATGGAGCCGAACTGCGACAGGGAGAGGCTGGAACTGGCTGTGTGGGGCCAGTGGGAGAAGGGGGAAGATCCCCTGGTGGGTCTCTTCCCTGAGACAGGAGCCAGCCCCTTGCTGGAATCAATTCCCCTCTCTGATCGGCTAACCCTGCCCAGCAGGCAGAGATCAGAGAGCCGCTGCATTGGTACCAACAGCTGTTTTCCAACCGGACTGGGCCTGGGCTCACTGACCGAGCTGTCCACGGGGTGGAGCCGGGAGCCGGCCCTCCCATCAGAAGTCCCCATTCAGGGTCACTGGGAACACAGCCCAGGCTCTGGAGGGAGAGGTCAGAGACATGCTGACTTTAGGGGTGTTCTTGCTGCCCTCCAGCTCCAGGCCTCTCCCGTGGTGCTAGTCCCCAGGAAAGATGGGTCGATCCGATTGTGTGTGGCCTCTCAGAAGCTCAATGCCATCACCATGTCTGGTGCCTGCCCATACCTAGGCCTGATGAGATCCTAGACAAGCTGGGGGGCGGACTCGGTACCCCACGACCAGAGATCTCACCAAGGGCGACTGGCAGGTGCCTTTGGATCCAGATGCCAGGTTGAAAGCTGCTTTTGTGACCCCTTTGGGGCTGTACAAGTCCCTGATCCTGCCTTTCAGCCTCACCTGACAGCACCAGGGGGATCAGCTACTGAGGGGGATGGAGAATTGGACCCTAGTGGACACTGATGATATTTGTGCCATTAGCCAGACCTGGGAGGACCATGTGTCCCAGGTGAAGAGGGGGCTGAGTCGTCTCCAGGATGCAGGGCTGACGGTAAAAGCTGGGACGTGCAAGGTGGGGATGGCAGAGGTGTTGTACCTGGGCCACAAGGTGTGGAACGGCTGCCTAAAGCCAGAGCCGGCCAAGGTGGGGACAATCAGAGACAGGCCTGCTCCCCAGACTAAGAAACAGGCCCAGGCCTTATTGGGATGCGAGGCACTACCAGAGGTTTGTGCCCCACTTCAGCTCTGTGTCAGCTCCCAGCACTGAGCTATACGAGAAGGGGAAGCCAGACAAGCTGGTCTGGACTGGGCAGTGCCAGAGGGCTCTCTGCGCTGAAGGAGGATCTGGCCAAGGGCCCGGTGCTGGGAAACCCAGACTTTGACAAGCTGTGACGTTAGGCGTGTAATATAATATCTCATTGGAAGGTGACAGGGCCAGAAAGAGTTAATTAACTCACAGATTGACCTGACCCATGGCCGAACTTTAGAGACTGGTTAGGAAGATCTGTAAATGAATAGAGCTTTGAAATGCAGCCGGCATTGTTACAGATAGAAGGGGAGGTGTTTGCTCAGGTCTTGTGATGTAAGCAAACAAGTCTGGTCTATTGCTATAGCTTTGATTCAAAGATCAAAAAAGGAATATTAACATGTAGGAAGACACTTGAGGGAAATAGTATTATTGTCTCTATGTCTCTTTGAAGGTTGTGATAACCTGTATCTGAACTGTGTAATGGATAAATTACCCTGTGCTAATTGCCAGGATGTTTGGGAGAAGGAGAATTAAGCCTATTGTTTTCTCAGGCCGAAAGGCTGCTGGAAATGTATAAGAACCCTGGGACACGATCCTGCTGCATCTCAGATCTGCTTTGGGTTTCAAGAGGGGGAAACCTTAAGCCACAAGGATTGAGATCCCCAGTCATTGACTGGAGTCACCCTGAATATGGACATAGAAATAGTCCAGAGGTTATAGTCCAAAAAGAACTTTTGGCAACTACAAGTTCACCTCCGTTATGTATCTGAACCTCAAGAATTGAATTCAAGTCTGTCTGTATATTGATCTTTCAACCAACTCTCTCTCTCTTTTCTTTTTTAATAAATGTTAGCTTAGTTAATAAGAATTGGCTATAAGCGTGTCTTTTGGGTAAATTATCAGAGGGGTAGCTGTGTTAATCTGAATCTGTAAAAAGCAACAGAGGGTCCTGTGGCACCTTTGAGACTAACAGAAGTACTGGGAGCATAAGCTTTCGTGGGTAAGAACCTCCCTTCTTCAGATGCAAGTAATTGAAATCTCCAGAGGCAGGGATAAATCAGTATGGAGATAACG